TGAATTCACCAATCTTTTTATAAACTCTGGCTGTACCCACACATATTTCAAAATGCTTTAACCAATTAAATTATCTGAAGGTCACATCTCAGATTTCAATTATGCTGCCTCATCTTATAACTACCACTTCAAAAATTGGGAAGGTAACAGAAACAAATTCTTTYCCATCCTTACTAATATTTTATATTTTAGTTTTCTTATGGAGACTTATAAATCCTACAGAATGTACATTAGTTATTTTCAAATGACCAGGACAAAAAAAAAATCAGTTTCAAACTTTGCAATGSATACAATTGATTTTTAAATGGACATAGAGGAATTTTATATCCTTTTGGTGAGGAAATAGGATAATTGTGATAATGTAAAGATAATTTTTTTGGGTGAGAACAATACAGAAAAAGATAATAGATAATTTTCTTAGATCTTACTATTTATGGCCTATGATTTGCTATTTTTCCCTTTTAATTTGTATATTTGGTATTTGATTTTAATAAATTAGGAAGGCAGTTAATGCTGATAATTTCCTTGAAAGTAGTTACAATCCTTTGTTACAATTTTATCCAAATTCTCTTCTAAGTTAAAAATAYCCATTAATGAGATGCAAGCCAATTATAGACTACCATAAATAATAAYAGTACTGAATATGATACACAGGCTGCATGCAAAATTTGGGATTAAGGAATGACATTATGACTATGAATTTCCCAGTTTCGSTTGAGATTCTCTGCTGTTAGGTTTTAATGTATATGGGTTTAAATTCTCCAAGCCTTGATATGATTTGGAAAGCCCAGAATTTCAAAGTGAAAATTCATGTAGAATTTATGGAATTCCTAATATCCTGTTTACATGTGAAAAGAAGGATTTTAATGTATATTTGGCTACACTTTGAACAAACCCCCATGTCTCTCTCTGGGCCTATGTGAGTGAGAGTTTTAAGCAGATTGACAAGAAGAGTTCTTGAGAAACAAATCACAGCAGCAAAGAATATTATGGAATATAGCTGCAAAATTTTTGGCCTCCTACAGACTGTAAAAGGCTATTTTGGTTTCCATCATTTCCCCAGTCATATTTCCAGAATACAAGCCATGGTGACAAATGACACATTATTTTATATAAGGATGCCAGATACCAGTAAATGGAGTATTTTTGTGAAGCTTAGTTTGGACTAATTGTTGGGAAGCTAGAGGGAATATGTGCATAGACTTTTTTGGACATGGTTGCGTGGATTATTACTAGTCTGTGAATGGAAATCAAAACCAAAAGGATATAATCAGGAACTGGGAAAGTGCTCCTCATTTGTACCTCGATATAGGAAGTATCAATGTGCTTATAGAAGAGTTTGTGAACTACTTTCTATACAGTGTGACACCTGTCCTTGATGGTGGTACATTTGCTACTCTGACTGCTATCTTTTCCAAAAGTGGATATTGAAAATAGATTAATTCTATTTTCACAGAATCAATTAATAACCCATCATCTGTTCCCAGAGGTGATAGAACCTGCTATATGAATGGAAAATCTAACATGGCAGTGATGTTGGACAAAAAATACTCTCTGTGTCCCAAAGCATCTTAACATCTTTCTTATATATTCATCTTATTTGACCAGTGCTACTGGTAGTTTCTTTTCCCATTACCTTTTTCAAAGCCTCAGTACTCAGTTCTTTATTTCCCAGCACCTTCACAGTGAGGCTTATGTGTGACAGACATAAGTCTGTCATATGTGCACCAACGTTTGGCTGCCAGGTGTCAGGATCCCTACACATAACCAAAGTGAGCTAAACATCAAAAAAAAAAAAAAAAAAAAAAAAAAAAAAAAAAAAGATGCTGTAGTAATTTTGCTAAGACAAAAGAAGATAAATGATCTCTTGTGGATAGGTAGTCAATACAGTTTTACAAAGGATGTCACTCGCTTGCTTGGTGGGTGACATTCCTCTTTTCATTCTCATATTTTTTGAACAATGTCATTTTAATCTTCATGCTTAGCCTCTGTTTATTCAATTTTTAATGCTGTTCCTCCTTTATCACTCCATCCTTGTTGGTGACTTTAGTGGTGCCAGGCTGCTGAAGTTGCAGAATCTAAAACAAGCCAAWCTACCATCAGCTTATTATGTAAAATTTCTTAATTAACATTCTCCATACTATACAAAAACAATTCTGGCTTACACATGCTGACTATGAATGTTGCTTCATGTTGTTGACTGCATCTTAAGTTTATCTGACATCTGATTTCTGTATAAGTAAAAATCTTTTGTTTTTATGATGCCTGAAGCAAAAACACAAAACAAATATAACCTTCTAATTGTGTGTAAAGGCAGATATCACACTTATTTAATACAATCATGTGTTTGATTATTATAAAAAAATAATGCATACTTTTTTCACCTGGTTTGGTAGACTTTATCTTCAGCATATTATTAGTCATTGTGAAACTTGCAACATACATATATTTTAAAAAAATGTACGAATAGTTTGCAAGATACGGCACCAAGATAYAACATCTTCCTCTTGAAAAATGAAWCTTTCTTGCTTGAGCTATCCTACTCTTCATCATCACACAAAGAACGAAGTGAGAGGTCTCCATGAAAGATGACAGATCTTCCTACAGATGGGGSAACGGCATATATACTGATTAATCCATACCAGGTTTAAGAGTGGTATGTGAAGGTGACTGAAAACTGAGGAGCTTGTCCCGTTGGAATTTGAGTGTGGGACTGGCTCTAGATATGTAATTAAAAGATCATAAAATATTATTTGATTCCACTTTGTTTAAACTGCTCTCTGGGGTGGAGTGTTGACTTTCTCAGCAGGGCAGGAGTGAAGGGGGTTATAGTTCCAGTTCATTTCTGTGTTTGATTAGTTTTTGGATCATTACATTTCACTTATTGCAATTCTCAGATATGTATTTCAATCATCCCAACCCTAATATATGTATAGTTTTAATAACTTATTTTTTTCAGTCTTGGCAGGACTGTCAGTTCAAACCATTCAATCTTTCAGTAGAACCACAATAGGACAGTTAGCTTGATTTCTTTGTAGCCATCAAGAACTCTGTTGACAACAATTTCAACACTAAGAAACAAGAAAAGATAAAGACCTGAATCTCAAGATGAGAACTGAAGTACAAATCTGTTCAATTAGGCATGAAACCTATCACTGCATTTTCTAATGCATTTATCAACTCACAGTTGATAACAACAGTTAGCTTTATTCTTCAGAAAAAGCTCTATTAGGGTTGCATTTAGCTTGCATGAGGCTATCTTTTTAAATCCTTTCCCTCCTCAATAGCTCACTGCACATTATTGAAGGTAATATTTGTAAAAGGAGGACAAAAGGAACATAAACATCTTTGTTTATGCCAGCTTCGTTGAAGAAAAGCCCTTAACTGTAAGATGCCTATGAAAACCACTTTTCATTCCCAGATGCCTAAAAAAGTTGAAGGGAAAAGGGCTGTTGGAGGAGCTGCAGAAAAGGAAAGCTCAGTCTCCTTTCAGCAGACTTTTAATTGTGCCCAACCTCCCTGACATCCTCAGCTTAACCGCAGARAAAAATTCCCAAGAGCTGGAAGGGRCCCCAGAGGATGCKGKYGAGGCCACGGCTGCTCYCCCCATTGCCAGTTTAGCAAAAGCTTCGCGACCGGGGTCTGTCCCCCACGGAAGGAGGCGCAGGGGCTCCGCGGGACTCCCTGCCCGCAGCTCCCCGCATTGCCGGCGGGCGGCGAGCCCAGCTGCCGGCACTCGCCGCAGGGAGCCCGCGGCCAGCGGGGGGAGCGGGGTGCCGAGGGGCGGCTCCGGTGGCRGCTCCCTTTGGGCTCTCTCTTGCTGCTTTTCCGGCTGCGTTAATTCTCCTCCTGCCCCTCTGCCTTCGMCGAGGCAGGTTGATTTCTGGCGGCTCCATCCCGCGGGGAGATGCGGCTTCCCCGCGGCGGCCGCCTATGCGTTTGGGGGTGTGTGCATACAKGCACATACATATATATGTATTATATCTATGGGTGTGCCTGTGTGAGTGACTGATAGCTGCGTTACAGCGTGTCATTGCAGCGCTGTCCGACGGGGAGGGCGATGCATGCGGGGATCTCCGGCAGGGCGCCGAGTGCGCTGCTGGAAGCACCAGCGTGCGGAGCAGGGGGGCGAGGACCACGCAGGGCTTTCGGGAGGCACAGGGGAGCTTGTCCTCACCCTTTCGGCTCCCTTTGGGCCCCCTCCTCGTCGAGGCAGCCCGGCGGAGAGGCGCTGGCTGCACGCCCGTGGCGGTGGGCGCCGCAGAGCTGTGCTCCGGGTTAGAGGCTGGGAGACGGGGCGGGGAGAAGGCAGCGCCGCCGCCGCGCCAAGCCAGCCTGGCAAAGTGATAGAACCGGCACCAAATTTCTTCCAAGGTGGTGGGGTCGATGTACGTTCCCTCTGGCGAGCGGCCAGCCGAGACCCAATCCCACAGCCGGCAGAAACGGCTGCCAGTGCAGCTCAGTAGAAGCGGAGGCTCAGCGAGGCGGGAGCGGGGCGGATAACTTTCCTGCCGGGGCACGGGGAGAGCCGGCAGCCGCAGCTCCCCAGGACCGGGGAGAGCGCTGCGGGCTCCAGGCGAGCGGGCTCTCCCGAGGCCCGGGGGAACACCGCCTCCCCCCGGCGGGCCGGCAGCTCCGGGACCGCGCCGTCCCTGCTCCCCGGGGGTCGCGCCCACCCGGTGGTCCCAGCTCACCCTCCCGCAGCCCGTGGGAAGCGGTGCCCGCCTCGCCGCCCGCTCGCCCCTCTCCGGCACGGGGGCCGGCCCGGGGGAGGGCTGCGCGTCACCGGATCTGGTGGCGCCGGCAGCGGGGCGGCGTTACGGAG